TTTCTTTTTTCTTTTTTAAAAAGTCATTAATTTAAACAAAATCTAATAAAAGTGTAATTAAGTTTTTCATAGTAAATAATTAATAGCAAATTCTTTTTAAAAAAATTCTCTCTGTACGAAATGAAAAAAAACTATCACGAATTAAGCTATTATTCCAGAATTAAGATAAACTTTAGGAAAATTTGTACTATAGCTTGCTAGTGCCCAGTTTGCGACTCTTGGTGTATATCGAGACGGTTCAAATTTCCCGTTTTCTAGAGGACGAAGAACTTAAAAAAATTTAAAAACAAAATTTGCGCATTTTTTAAGGCATTGTATAGCTCGGAGGCTCACAAATGAAACGCAACTCTCATTCGTACGCCAGTGTTCAATTTATACCCGAGCAATTCCGGTCCAATTGCGCAAAGATGAAAAAAAAACACAAGTTTGTTATGTCGCGAATTCACCATCATTTCGTGAAGATAGTATTATTTAACAGCTGGCAACCTTTATTTTTAACGAATGATATTTCACAGGCACGTGAACACCACATAGGCCACGAATGCCGAAAGCATGATGAGAGAAAAGGGATAGAAAAATATAAACATTCGTGCTAGATAAGAGTAAAATGTAATGTCAGCAACAGGTAAGTTAGCTGGGATCTCTTAAATTTAATTTTTTAAAAGAGAAAGGAATAATGCGTCTGTGGAATTTTAAACCAAATTAATTAAGATATATAACGCTATGTCAATAGGCATAAATATGCATGTGTGAACTAATTGTGATTATTCGAAATTTCAATATTGTTTTAAGCAAACTTCCTTCTTAAAGCTCTTTAATTGTTCGCTATGTGATACTGTATTGAGTGATCAGCTAGAGAACGAGTAACGCTAACAGAAATTCCACTTTCTGCGAAGGTAAGTTTCACATAATTTGAAATAGACAGCTAACACAAAGGAAAGTAAAGTACATAAATTATGTATATGGTACTGTGTTCACATTTCGACTAAATTTTAATGCGTTGCGACTCTAAGTACCTAGCAAATTGTTACAACTAAAATCGGGCCTTCAAAATTCGTAGCAATGACCATAAAGTATAGCTGCGAAAATTTGCTTATTTTAGAACATATTGTCGTAATTGTCAGCTGCTTAACAATTTTCTTAACCTACAATAACTGATATGTTGGTTAATATATGAATTATAGTTTAAAATTAAACTATGATACGCAGGAAGAACCACGTAGCTGTAGGCAAGTTGAGAGAAAACAACAATATGCATTCAGTGTTTATATAACAATACTTGGTGAAATCTTACAGTGAACATTTTAAACAAAGTCTAAGTTTAAGAAAATTCTTTATTGGTTTAATTAATTTCGAGGTCACATTTTACTATTGATTTGCTATTGCGGAGTAACTTCCCAGTTCATCTATTTATTTATTTAGAATAGAACTAACTAGTTTTCTGTCGAGATAATATCGTTAGACAGCTTTGATCAGGAGTTAACCTTTTCTGATGTGCGCAAAAAGGTAATACCAACGATATCACAACTTTTTTCAATAATCTTAAAGTTAAATGTATTGTGTTCGAGAAATACATTGTATAAAATATTAGTAATACGCAATTAAACACAAGTAAATCAAAAATATTTGGCGGTTAGTCTGTAATATAAGGCTTTTCACTTTATTAACGGACAAGACGGACAGATCAAGTAAGTGGTAACGATCGTTGCACATTTTACTCACTCGAACGGATCGATCAACTCATAATTGGGACGGCATTGTGGTAGCTGCAAAAGCACAAAACGTCTTGTGATCCTACTAGGGATGTGAATATCAAGAAGGTCTAATTAATAAAGTCGGCGAATAAACCTCATCATTTATTAGCTTATAGAGGAATGTTACACCCAACATTTCACGCCTTCTTTCGAGAATAGGCAAATCAGCGAGCTTCAACCTATTATTATATGGTGGAAGACATAGAGTAGAATCCCATCCCAAACCTCGCGAAACAAACACAAAGAAGTTTCGTTGAACAGATTCCATGAGATCAATATGGCATCTATAAGTAGGAAGCCAAACTACCGACGAGTATGCAAGAGTTGTCCTAACGAATGAAGTACACGTATGGGGCTTTAAATTCTTTAAATCATCTTTTTATAAATCCTAAAAGGGGTCTAGCTTTATTAACTGTCACTTCAATATGACTGTCAAACTTGGATTTTGAAACAGAAACAACTCTTCGTAATTGCCAACCTTTTCCAGATTATGACTATCAATACGACAATAAGAAGGCGTCGTACTGCACCATGTAAAATACATTCCCTTGTATTTGTTTGAATTCAAAACTATACCATTGTTTCCGCACCATGAGCACATGTTCTCAAGATCGTACTGAAGAAGTCTACCATATTTTGAGTCAAAGGAGAGGGAAAGAAAATTTGTGGCAAGGGTTTAACGTGGGTTCCTGCCTGAAAGGCTTAACCCCACGGTGGCCCAAGCCACTTTTAAGCGTACTACGCCCCCTGGCGAGTTAGACAATCCCCACAGAGTAGGGGCCTAAACAGCACCAGAGTCCAGAACAGTTTATTGTGTATGGAACAATAAACCCCACTCTGGTCAATGGCGAGGCCTAGCTGCACTCAATTGTTCCATTTTAGCTAGGAACTCGCCAACCACAACCACCACGAGTACTCCCCGAAGGGCCGCACCCAAGCAGTCAGGACTCACAAAGGAGAGGGACAGTTTAACATCGTTTGCGAACATTAAAACACGTAAATCGTGAACACACTCCGGAAGGTGATTCACGTATGAAATAAACAAAAGAGGGCCAAGATGACCAAGCTGAGGAACAGCAGAGTGACATCAATTACTCTAGATTGACAAGATTTCCGCATCACCCGTTGGACACGACACGATGTAAGAGAGATGGCTACTAAACCATGCAGTCATCCTGCTCGAAAAACCAAGGCGATGTAATTTATAGACTAACAACCTATGATCAAATCCGTCCAAAGCTTTGGAAAAGTCCGTGAAAATATAATTAGTCTACGTATGATTGGAAAATGCCTTGTAAATTGGATTACAAAACTCCAAAAGATTGGTAGCCGTTGATCTTCCTTTTAGAAAACTGTGCTGACAGTGCGATATAATTGATCCTAAAAGCGGAGTAAGACTTTTTGCTACTAGTGATTCAAGTAGTTTGGGCAATGCACTTAGTTTGGCAATTCCCCTATAATTCACAATAAGTTTCCGAGAATCAATCTGATAAAAAGGCAAAATGAGGCTACTCTTCCAAACCGATGGAAAGTAACCTTTTCCAAATAGACATTAAAGATTTGTGTAAGGGGAGAGCATAGTAAATCAGCACAATGTTGGACAATTACAGACGGAACACCATCAGGACCAGGGCAATTACAATAGTTCTTCTTCGAAGGAAAACATAGACGGAAAAATATCAAAGGACCTTATCGAATACGGATAACTATCAAACGAAGTATGTAAACATTGGTAGACTACTTCAAAATAGTGTGCAAAAAGGTTCGCTATTACAGTCACATCGGATAATTCGAAATCTCCAAAGCTCATGGCGGAGGGACATCCTTTTATTTTTCGTTTGGAATTTACGAGTTTGAGAAAGTTCCTCAGATTTTTAAGAAGTTTGAGTCCGCTTGCCTCAATAAAACTGGAATAACTCCCCGAAAGCAAGTTGTTGGGAGTTATAATCTCGTCTAGTGCTAGAGTATAACATATAATCTCTAATCGAACCACTTCGAGTGCATTTTTCAAATAGCCTACTTTGTTTATTGCGGACCATCCGTAAATGCTTGCTATACCAATCTGGGGACACTGACGTGTGACAAACCTTAAACGGAGGCGGAAATTGCGAAACAAAGCTGACTGTAAATAAGGCATATCGAGTCATCAATATCTGCTGAGCGTATGTCTCAGTCAATGTCCCCAGCAAGTTCCTAGGTTTAACGTAATTCGTTTTAGGAAATAAACGGTGATCCCTATTGATCACCTGGTTACGCGGCCCATTGCCAGCAAGACAATTTACGGCCAGCAACAATGACATATGATGCCTATTTTCAGGCGAAACAAAGGACTCCCCTCGAAACACAGAAATATCGGTATCCCAGCAAAAAAGTACGTCGAGCAATTTATTATTTCCATTAACCATATTGTTAACCTGACACAAATCTTATCCATGGACTTCATCGAAAAACTCTCCATAAATTAACGGATAAGAAAAGGGAATATAACATCCAAGGTCGTCATAGAAAATCCACGAAACATTGGCCAGATTAAAGTCACTTAACACTATTTACTTATCACTTTGTGTGAGATGAGAAGTAATACTTTTGATCAAAGCCAAGTGCTCTAAGTAAACCCCAATATCAGACGTTGGAGGAATGTAAGAACAAGTAATAAATGCATTATAAGTATGAAGTTTTATTTTAACGTCCACAAACTCAACAGTTGTAGACATAGAAGGACTAACCAAAGATCAGAGTAAGCTACGACTATTTTTTATTATTGTGGTCTAAAGATTTAAATGTGTATAGTATTCCAAAGTATTGGTATTTAATAGTGGGGTAGTAGGGGTAGTAAAGCACATACATATAGTTTCAATAATTATGAATCTTAACATCAGCAAATGATAGAAATATTTCATCAGCAATGAACTAGTAGCAGCAATTTTCGTTCAGCTATACAGCTGGCTTTGGTCAGCCGCAAAAATGAATATGTACATAGAAATGTGTAAAGGAAAGATTCAATAGCATTGATATCTTGTGCGAGAAGAGAGAGAAGGAAAATGAGAAAGACAAAAAGAGAGAATAGTGAACATCAGAAAATATCAATAGTATTTGTTGTAGAGGAGCAAGGCTTTGTGAGAGATAGAGAGAGTATCATGAGAGTAAGATTGTGTGAATTTATCATGTGAGCTTTTCCGTCGCGATGAATAACAGTATTAATGGTTAACAAAAACAACTTCGATTTTCAGTTAATTCTTGGCTCTCGCATGAAGTACTAGGAGGTAGAGTGGAGCGCGTTGTTCACATATACGTTCATGTTGCATATTAGTTTGTTTCCATGTATTCGTGTTCTTAAGATTTCGTGTATATGTTTATTGTACTTTTTTAATGAAAAATAAACCAAAGTATACTACATTTGGCTGAGTCTGTTACGTTTTTTATATGAGTGAATAACGACGTTCGCTCAGTCGTTTGCTTTCATGACCGGCATAAGGAAAACCTAAGATACATGCAAGCAACATGAAAACTAGTTGATTTTATAAATGTCAATATTTTTCTTTTTTGTGAGTACACTTTGAAATGCTCTCAGCAGTGCTATGCTATGTTGTGGCTTGTTAAAAAATATATATAGATAAAAAGATATCTCCTCCGTTCAAAGCAATTGCTGGATTAAGTTCGAAGCTAGTGACTGCTATTGCTTTTTTTATTGGCTATGTGCGATGATGAAGCGCTTATATACGTGCGTGTCAGCGTGTGCATGTATGTATGTGTATGTTTGTGTATGTGTCTGTAGTCATAAGAAAGTGTTAGAATTGTAAAAAAAAGTCGTCGATCGTTACTAATAGACATTAAGTAAGCGGTAAGGAAATGAACACGTTTTTTGGACGTTTTCACGTATCCACATAATGTTTAGGAACTTAGACATTTGAATTGGCAGAAGAGAATGTGCAGCGGTAAGAACAATAACCACGTGTGATATCTTAGAAGGCAAAAGAGTTATAATTTTTTGGAAAAATTGTTTGTTATTGTTAGTAAGAAAACATGCCACCCAAAAAGGACACAAACGCACAAAACAACAATAATCCAAATGTCACCAACAACAATGAAGTGACAACCACAGCAGTTGCGGCGCCAACTGTAACTATAACTGTAACTTCAACGTCAAACAATACAAATAGTTCGACAACAGCAACTGTCTCTCAACTGGCTGCGGCAGCAGCGGCTGCTGCTACCAACAATGTAGCAATATCTGGCGGCCAAGCGGTATATTTGCACGATGTCGCAGCTGAGCAACGTACTATAGCTTATCAAGCGAATGCAAAGCTCTGTCGTTTAGTGCGGAAATGTCCATGGATGTATGATCGCAATCATCATAATTATGCCAAAAAGCATATACTCGATAAATCATGGACAAAAATCGCCAAAGAATGCAACGACTCAGGTAAATATTACTATATATCTATGTAAATGCAAACACACAAATTATACGGTGTGCGAATGAATCTCATCGTAACCGACATTTATATAATTTTTACGTTCGATGAGACAAGTTGATTCTCTTTCTTGAATGTTCACGTTTCTCTTTAGTAAAATAAGTTTTTGTTTTTTCTGCATAACGATGATGTTTTACCTTTGTCTACATATTTTTACTTTTTGTGTTTGCTTTTCTAAATTTTCAATGCTGTCGTAGTGTGCGAACGCGGTCTCTTTTACTTTAAATCATCGGGTGATAATGAATCACTCATTCAAAGTACTCTTTTTTTTTTTGCTTTTACCATTAGAGAGAACTCTATCTATTTGATGTTATAGCATTTTTTTATGTGTAAAAATGTAATGCAGTATGTGTTTTTCTAAAATGACCTGTTATTTGTTTCTCTCTTTATGTGGAAGAGTTGCTGATGAAGTATTTCGCTAAAACAGAGCGAGATGAATTATACACGAACAGATTATACTTTTATATGTGTTGATTGCAGAGAGTGATGTTGCAGTTCGTGTTTTGCTTTTAATTGTGTGCGGAATAGAGTATTACAGTGACAATGAGTTTATTTTTATTTATGTACAGTAAAACACAAGTAGATATGAAGAAAGTTCGTCACGAGTATTAGGGTTACTTATTTTAAATTTCTTAAAAGATACTAACAAACTTATACCGGCTAGAAGAAAACACTTTTATACATGAAACATTTTTGCAAATGTCGTAACACAAGCAAGAATAAGGTGGTTAGGATAATTTGTTTGATGCCGTTCTATCAATATTTCTGTTACGGTTGTCTAGGATTTCAGTGGACAATGTCACGATTTATTAATTATGGCGTTTTAGTTCGAGTGTTCTCATCGGTACAACTGCTCCCTTCCCGGTATTCAGGAGAGTCTTTACACTACCTATATATTTAAGAAAAATTCTTTCACCTTGATATATGTATGAATCACTGAGCAGAAGTTAGTTCCTTGTGATGTTTGTTGTTCTATTTCGCCCACTACCCTAAGTATTATAGAATAATCACTCTTCAACCAATATCGGGAATTGGTTTAATTGTTATAATAATTGTTATAATAATGAAACGTTTTTAACGATATGTGCTATCGTAATCTACGATAGGCAGAAGCAAAGATATTTAAAAATCGAGCCAATTTTCTGCTTGATGAATATAAAAGTGGTCGTAACGGCAAATCCAAAAATCATTAAACAAGTTATTTTATAAACGAGTCTAGTGATTTTCATATAGCTGTGCAAGCAATATTTTATATATCAATAATAATAAGGATCACAATTTTGTTATCTATTACGCATTATATATCTTTTATCTAATAATTCTCATAAATTTTTCGTCATTCCATTGAATTTTTTTAAATTTCTAGTACTTTACGACTAACAACACGAACAACACGGTATTTTGCAAATATGTTTAAGTTTTACGCAAATTGTATCGGATCTCTTCGCTTTCCTCAATGTGTGTTCTCACTTACTAAGTTCCCATTACTGTTGATGTCATTTGAATTAATGCATGTATTTTTATTTTTCTATTTTGTAATCATTTTCTCGTAGTGGCTTCTTGTAAGGAGCGTTGGCGTAATATCAGAGCAGCGTTTGCGCGCTCTATTAATATCTACAAGACGCATAGCGGTCCTAACCGTGTTAAGCCATACTATCTGCACAAAGAACTGACATTTTTAGTAAAACCAATGATGGAAGGGCGCGATAGAAAGGACGATTATGACGAGGATACTAGGCATGATATGGACACGGCTAAAGATGATGAATTGGAGGAGGAGGAAGAAGACGATGATATGGAGCAAGCCGAAGACGAAGAAGAGTTTCAAGATGAGACGGCAGAAATTAAGTCAGCTTTCGAAGCTTTAAATCCTGCTATACGCATACATACGGAAGAATATCCGAAAGTCTTAAAGACTGTACATAACAATAATCAAAATTCAACAAACAATAGCAATAATACCAACTTACCAGAGTACGAATTGAATGGTTTGTTTGAGCCACAAACTGAATTTACTACTAGCGAAGCTGAAGCCGAATTTAATTTTCAGGAAGATGGAGAGCAAGAGCGCAAGTTTACAAAGCGGCCGATGCATTTTGAAGCCGAAACTTTTGAATCGAAACGTTTAAAATTAACAAACGGCTCAATTACCAGTTCTGAAGCTGATGTCAGATTTCTGGAAGCCTTACTGCCCGACATGGCTTTAATGAACACTCGTCAAAAAGTCATATTCAAACGGAAGATCTATCAGACGTTGGAGGAGGTATTTGAGAACTCAAGTGATTTTCCCAACATAAACGCAAATGATCATCACTACATAAACACGAGTACAGCTACCTCTGCTCCCAATACTAATAATAATAATAATAACAATAATAGTAATAATAACAATATAGCGAACACCGGCTTTAACAATCAAACAAGTGCAGCTACTATAACAACATCAGGTGGAGCTCAAGTTAGGCAGACGATATTGACAGTCAATTCTTCGACTGCTCGCGCTTTAATTAATAACATAGCGAATCTCAATGAGTCTGAATTACAAAAAGTCAACGGTTTTTTGCAAAACACTCTGCGCAGCAGTACAGTTAACACGAGATTGATAAACGGCAACCCAACACCGAGTAGTGCGGCTGCGCGCTTAATGCACTCAACGCCAAAAATAACGATAACTAAAGTTTCCTGCCCTCCTCCAGCTGCGTTGCGTAATTTGAATGCTAAACCTGCTTCGCCAACCCCAATTCTCAATGCTACTAACACTACCACGAGCCATTCCACTAATTCTATTATGGCACCCAACGTACATTCGACCACATCGAATATCAGCACAAATGCTCCTGTTACAACTGCAGCGACTACCACGACCACCAACAACAATAGCAATAATTCGCCATGGAATCAACTAATGCCCATCACTATAAAAGACGAAGTTGAAGATGTCGATGTCGATTAGCATAGTTTGAACGTTCACTGTTATAATAAATTTATCAAACGCGTATGCTACCAGACATTGTATCGATTAGCTTACTTCGTTAACAACTACTTTTTCTACATTAACCGAATTAATTTTACTTACTGCTTAGAGCTTGAGTGTTCGAAGCAGCCACCCCAACATATTTCGAAGAGTATGTAGTGTTCACACTCAATAAGTTGCGATACATACCTACTCTTTGCATGTTCGTCTGTTTTTAGAATGTTCACAAAAATTAAAATTATGTACATGTCTTCTTTACGTCAATTATTTGAAATTCTGCTGTAGACGATGGGTACCCGGGGTACCCAAGGTTCTTCCTTGCAGTTATTTACACTGTTTTTGTGAAAGCTTTTGTATTCCCTCAAAATACGCAGTAGGAAGCTACTAAGCTAAGTACACTTTAATTCACCTAATATCCTAAGTGGACTTATACCGTTTTACAAGTAACGGACATATCTGTCCGTTTTCTGATTGAATTCAATGTAGAAAATGAGAATATGAAGGGAATTTACACAATAGAAAAAATTAATTATTTTTTAATTAATTACAATTAAATATTATTATACTTTTTACATTTTTAATATAATTAAAAAATAAAAAATACAATTTTTAGTAAATATATGCCAGAGATGGTGGATATTAAAGTTGAGCCATATGCCTAATGCAATTTCTTTCTTACTTCTTCTCTGCTAAAGCCATTTGCCTTTTTAAATACTTAGGACAATAATATACAATAGGTTTAGATTCTACATAAAAAGTTTTTACATAATATTTTGATATTGA